TAGGCAGCCTGAAGGCCTTCGCCTTGCACTTTGCGATACAGAGATTGGCAAAGATGAAAAAGACAAGCTGATTGTGTGACTCCTGGAAAGACCTTTTTAGTGGCATTGATAGAGGCCTTTTCAAAGTTGCTCAGCACTGTTGCAGGATTAAGGTTTGGACGGAACAAAGGATACAATGAAGAAACTGCAGGGAGAAACTATACTCGAAACTCAAAACCACTGTCGTTCATACAAGTCCTAGACTTGCCCTTGGGAATGAATGAATGAAGCAGTGAGATGAGATAAGCAAAAGAAAATGGAAAAAGTCGCGCCTGCATGAAAAAGCCCCACGGTGAAAAGGGTGCTACAGGGAAAGGGAAGACAGTGAAGATTTATATGCAGTGAAATGATGCACGGCAAAGTAACAACAGTGATAATGATCGCAGTCAAATTGCATACAGAGAAGAGTCGTGCCACGGTTAGGCTATAAATTCCATCTGATGATATGCACACAATATAGCAATGGTGTGGATGCATTTACAATGTGGCAGGAATGAATATATATCAAGGAATGTGAGGTGGAAGATTTAAATTTGGTTGATAGAATAACTAATGAGGCTGAATATTTAAAATTAAATTTTCATAATGTAATAACTTAAATTTAATTTTACTAAAAAAAAAATAAATTTGTACATGAGTGTTTCCAAAGCTGTGTCAAATCCAAAAATTCAAATATAATACATTTCTGTACCTGAAACATGATCAAGATGGGGTTAAGTGCTTGATGCTTGATCTTGCATCAGAAGGACAATCTAATATATATAGATGATCGTGACTGACTGACGCTAATTCTAACCATGTTCTAGAGAAGTTAGAAATCTGAAACTTGGTACACATGTTCCTTTTGGAACATGGAGTTCAGATAAAATCTGACTTTGGAGGTACATGCCCTGGGGGCACCCATTTTAGGGAGGGGGGAGAGATGTTTTCAAAGAAATATATTTGCTTCAGTTAAATGGAGAGACATGGAAAGCTGAAACTTGGCATGGACGTGCCTACTGAGACACAAAGATCAGGAAAAATGTCAGGTTTCAGATGCATGCCCTGGGGGCATACTTTTCTTGGGTGAAGTTTTCAAATAATTTATTTTTTTGTCCAACCGGATTGGCCAGAGACAGAAAGGTGAAATGTGATGCATAAGTACCTATTGGGAACCTGAATTCAGAAAAATTCAGATTTTGGAGGTAAATGCCCTGGGGGCACAAATTTCAAGGGGAGATGTTTTCAATTATTTTTTTTTGTTTCAAACGGATAAACATGGAAAGCTGAAACGTGACATGGACATACCTACTGAGACTCTGAGTTCAGGAAAAATGTCAAGTTTTGGATACATACCCTGGGGGCATATTTTTGGGGGTGATGTTTTAAATAATTTTTTTTGTCCACTAAATTGTACAGAAATAGAAATGTGAAACTTGGCACAGCGATAACTGAGGTGATGGTGAGTTCAGAAAAAAATTTCCAAAGAAAGTTTTGTGGTGCATACCCCCAGGGCACAGCTTTTTGCTGTGTTGGCTTTTCCAAACATATTTTTGCACCAGCAAAAAAAGCAAAAGGATAAGTCTGAAACTCAGTATGCATGTAGTTCTCTGAGTACTGATTTCAGCAAAAATTTTAATTTTTAGGTAAAACCCTTGAGGGCATATTTTTTGCAAAAGGTGCATTTTCTGGAAACTTTTCTGATTCAATGAAGGAGGGAATTAAAGAAAGTTGAAACTTGGAGCAGAAGTACCTGTTCAATTGCTGAGCACATGTACTACTTTTTAAATATGACCCATCAGGGCAGATTATGAAGAGATTTGGAGTTAGGCACACAAGAAGCAATGGGAGTAATTATTCCAATGAAAATATCGGTTTTTTCTCTCTCAATACACATTCCAATGGGCACATACTTTTAAATACGTTTTTGACACTTTGAAAATAAATAATTGAATGAATCACTATGCAGGGAATGGAGTGACAATAGCGAGTTTGCAAGAAACATTCTTAACATTTAGGCTTTCAGGGTAACTGAATGAAACAACTATACTTCAACAAAGGTTTTTGAGCAATCTATCATTCTGTGAAAGAATCATATCTGCACCTTGAATCAAAGAAAAGCTATTAATGATTAAATTTAACAAAATATAGGGCAAAATGTGAAACTTTGACATTTGCAATGCAGATTTTGGAAATATAAAATCTAAAAATATAATACTTTTGACTGGCCTTATAGATAATGAAGGACTTTCCAATGATGAACTAGTTACAAGCAATCTTACTGTGGATTTCATTAGGTTGAAAATGTCCAAAATTTCAAATAGTCAAAACCTTTTCCCTAATTAGGACCCAAAAAACCTCATGATTATCTAACTTCATGCTTTACAATGAGCAACTGAACAGTTTTCTAGCTTTAGTAGTTGGGGAGATATTGCAATTGTCCTAAGGGTAATTTCGCCCTTCCCTCCCAAACTTCAAAGGGGCATATCTCTCAAAGGCCAAAGAACTTAGCTGAAATTTTTTATTCATCAGTCTCTCATAACCCTCAGTAAAATTTTTTTCTTTTTTTAGGCAAATATCAGTTGGAGCAGCAATCCCCTTTTGACTACTTGATGTGGAAGAATTCGGGGTTGCAATTACAGTAACTTTTAACACTATCTCAACAGGAAGGCCCATAAATAGCCCCACTGATTGCAGAAATGAGAAACAGATGAAAGAGACCTGTCTCTTCTGGGCAACACGGAGGATACGTTCCTCTGCAAGTTGCGCTGCATGAAGCTGCTGCTCCTTCATCCGAATCTCCTCTGCTTTGCTTCTTGATGTTCCACCTGTCATATGCTGTTGCTGCTGTTGTGGATGTCCACCTCCAATCACCTGATCCCATGCAAAATAGAAAACACTCATAAGAAGGGATGAAGAATTTAAAAAATTAAATGACATGATATTCACTGCAAGAATGATTTACTGCATCATTCTCTTGACTGACTGTGCATTTTACATGGCATGTTTATGAAACAGGTAGAGAAATTAAAGTAACAAGAAGAGTATAAACTGGGGCTGGATGGGATTAACATTTTGATATAATTTGCATTTAAATTTCCAACCAATTTACATGTACTACAAGATAACATTTAATCAAATTCTTGACAGCTAACCAAAGTCATTCAATCACATAGCAGACTAACACTTGACAGTTACCATGATGATTATTTTGATTAGAATTAGGCAAAAATCACAATGAAGGAGAACTTGATCATATCGGGTGGTGCAAAAAGTGTCCTGTTTGACACCTCATGAAATTGACTGTGGGGTTGGGTTCTAAGTTCTAGAGTCTGTCTCAAGTTTCATATTTTTTTGTATGAAATTGGAAACACTCCAAAATTTGCTTCAAAAAAGTTTCAAAGATTTAAGTTGTCCAAATTAAAAGTAATATTCATAAAAAGTCATCAAATGTAACTTTTCACATATGATGCAGATGTAGTCTCAGCACCTCTTAAAATATTTCTCTCCTTGAGTCATGAATGTTGTTTTTCAAGTTGTGTCTCATCATAGTATTCTTGATTGCAGAGTGTCTTTAGTCCTTAGGTGAGAATATAAGGTCTGAATTTGATGGTGTGTTTAGAGCATAAGTACTGGAGAGGGAAGTGAGAGTTTCCTATCAAATCATGGACTCTGTTCTGTGAAGTCTCTTTCTTCCCAGGATTTCTTTTAAAAACACCCCTTTAATGTAGTGACTTTTCCTTCAAAAGATACAACATGACTGCACTGCACATTGCAAAAAGAATTCTGCCATAACAAGCAGGCATTTTTTCGAAAAATGGGACACATCTGAAGAGCGCTGCTGAAACTTCTGTCTCCCAATGCACAGAAAAGTGAATTTTCTAATTGAAGTTTCAGCAACTGCTGCTCTTTAACCAAACAACCTAGAGACTTCAAAACCTTTGTAATACAAATCATAGAGTGCTTTCTGTGTCATACAAAATATTTGATTAAATCTAGCATTTCTAAAAGTAAGTTTTATAAAGCCTCAAGCAGGATGTGTTTTTTTGGGCCACATGGTATTATACTTGCAATCTCCATGCAAGTACCTGAGGCAAGGAGGAGTTCCTCCAGTGAGGAGAGGCATTGGCTGGCATTGTCTGCAGCCTCTTGTTCTCATTAGCTTCCATTGCTATACGTCGTTGACGACTCCGCTCGAGGTCTTCCTGCACAATGCGCAGCAACCCTCGACGATCAACTTCATCCTAAAAACAAGGCAAATATATTCACATATCATGCAAGGAAAAGTTCATAGGAGTTGTCCACTTTTCATTTGAATGCCCTATACACAGGGTGAGTCAAAAGTCCTGCCCACCTTTTGAACGCTAATAACTTCTCAACGCTTGATCTCATGGAGATGCGGTTTTCACCATTCGAAAGGCAAGACAATTCTACACATGAGGAAGGATTTTTGCATTATTTTTCAAGTGTAAATTAAATTCCTGTTCTTGGGTCTTATAAAAGCATTGGCATCCAAAGCATGCATATAACATTATGCCTGATTTTCTGTTCAATTGTCAGAGGGTGTCCAGATCGGAGAAGGTCTGCTATGTTTCCTGTCCTGTCAAAATTTGAGTTGATACGGGCAAACAACTTGCAGCTGACGGTCTCTCCCATCAATTTCTTCCTGAATTATCAAGCAGTTTCCGTCGCATTCGGAGTAAAACTGAACTTTTGCAACTCACTTATCATTGGTCAATTGTTTATCAGCCATTTTCCACAATCCTCCATGAATTGGAATTGATCACAGCCAAGGCACAATAACTCTCATACTCAAACGGACCATTGGATGTGGTGCCGCAAGGATGTTTTCAAGTGCCAATGCCTTTGATAGCTCCCAGAATAGGAATTGAATTTTCAAAAGATACCATAAGTAAAATAAAGCAAAAATCCTTCATTCGATACAGAATAGTCTAGTCTTCCAAATGGTTAAACCAGCATCTTGATGAGATCAGGCGTTGAGAAGTCATTCGCATTCAAAGGGTGGGCAGGACTTTTGTCTCACCCTGTATATATAATTTTAAATATATATATATATATATCCCTCCTTATAGCCCTCATCTCATTCACTCCAAGAGCTCTGTCTTATTATTCTTTCTTCAAAATGACCTTCAAAGTGGCCTCCACCTTGAAGGGAGTTCATTATTTTGAGTGACTTTCCTTGTCCTACACATGGTTACCCACTGCTAAGGTTTTTTGTTTTTTTTTTAATGCCAAGTAACACTCAACATTTTTTCTATTCTGGACATCAGCTAAATTCAAATTTAAGCACATTATGATTTGCATATTACTATTTCCATATCCTTCAAATTTCCTAAGTGCCTTTTAGTTTTATTTGTTTGCTAAAAAGTCCTTATTGAAAACATCCTTTTACATTTATCAGCTCCAAGTACTAGGTTGTAACGAAAGTTTTTGTGCATACAAGCAACGCAACAGTCTGCAAAGCATGATTTTTTCGTCCGAATTCTGAACGAAAGCGTATTTTATGCTGCATATAAATATATGTTGCTTATTTTTACAAATCGCTAAATTTATAAAAGGTACAGCGTTCAGAATGTGTGACGAAAAAATCATGCTTTGCAGACTGCTGCATTATTTGTATGCACAAAAACTTTTGTTACAATCAAGTACTTCAAGAAACGTACATCATCATCATCATTGTCCTCATCATCACCCTTGGCAGCCTCCTCTGCACGACGCTGGAACTCCTTCTCCAGTCGGAGGGTCCTCAGCTGTTCTTCTTGTTTTGGAGTACGATTTGACTCTCCTTCCAGCATAGCAATCTGCTGGTCCCGCCATAGCCGTGCCACCTCAGCTCGACGTGCTGCCTCCTAAGCCACCCAAATGAATATTAGGACTAATATTAAGGCCACAACTTAATGCAATCCAGTCTGTGGTGCAACATTCAAGAATTGCAGAAGAATGTACCATACACTGGCATTACCATTGTGCTATTTTGATAGAAACCCAAAATGACTACAACAAAATTAGAGCATAGCCATGTCAGTCCATGGGTATCTAAAATCTAAAGATGAGAAGAAAAACCTAATAAATATTAGAATACAGTTCATTATTTCATAACTTACAAAAACTTGTCAGCCCCGAAAAATAAGGCACATTAATGCATCATATTTATAATTATTTGAGATATCTGAATGACCTGAGTGAAAAATGAATATGAATATGGATCAATATGAAAATCCTGACAAAGGCAAACAATGGCAAGAAATCTACAAGATCAACCACCACCTTGAGAAACCATCATTTTTCAGCACAAACTGTCAAAGCTATTGCCCCACTGAGAACCACCCCTGACAACTACTAAGATGTTAAAAGCAAAAGGGAAAATGACAGAGTCTGGCAAGAGGAAATTTACTCCAACAGAACAAGGAATGATGATGAGGAGAAAAAAAAGGGGAGAAAATAGTACGAGATGAAAAGAAAGAAGAGGGTTAGGAAAGGTAGAACAAACACCCACTCTAGGATTCTGTGCAGGGTTAGTCTTCATCTGGCCCAGCTGCTGCACTCATGAAGGAAAAGAAAAGCCACACCAGGTCAAACTCATGCATACAAATCAAGATCTACTCAAAACTACTATAGTAAAAGTATTATTGTTCTTTACCCTTTCACGTTCTTCTCGGTCCCAGGGATTACTGGCACTAAATATCTTGTTCATTTGCTGATTCAGCTGCTGGGAGGTTGGCACTGATGGACTCCTAAAAAACCAACAATTTCAGCATCAGGAGCTGGTTGTCCTTATTTCATGAGAGATAGATAGAGGAAAGTGGGGAACCTGTTGTCGCTTATTTGAGCAGGATATGCAGAAGATGGTCGAACTGAAGGGAACATGGCACTCTCAGGAGGCAGTGGAGGACGTGCTGGTGGGATGTCCTCATTTTGAGTACCTCCTCGAGAATACCCAGGACCTGGATACACTCCAGTCATCCCCTGAGAATATGCATAATACTCAATTCACATGAGCTCTTTCAACACTCATTGCAAGGTGTTATCTTCATTGTTCAATCAATAAAAGCAGTCAAAAGGCACTTGAATTCCTTGAATTATAGGTGCTTTACTATTCAAAATTGTTCCTGGATGAAGAACAGGATGGATGACTTGTTTCTTTCCTCAGATCTCCAGTGTGCTTGTGTAATAACAAATTAACTTCATGGTATTGAATTGACAACTCAAGAAAGTATAGAAAGAACACTTCCAGCATTTAAGCAACCCTCTCATTAGCCACACTATAATTCATATCAGAAGCTAAATCACATTGCCCAAGCTATATTCTTAGCAGCTACCTAGTCCCACTTATCAATGAAGCATGAATTCTTGTTTATCATTAGGCTGCATACCTGCTATCAACAGCAAAATATTCAAGGTTACAGGAAGTTGCACACCACTGCATAAAAATGGTAACTTCAACATTCATGATATCACTAGAACAATTTCAATTAGGCAGTCCAATCATTGATGGTTGATGGAGCTGTGCACATCATTACGTCCAAGCAACCTTCATGCAATTTTTTGTGGAAAAGGTAATCTGAAGTGGCACATGGTCAACTGGTCTTCTAGCTTCTATTATGAAGGATGAAGCTTTATTGCTTCTATCTCAATTATGGTATTTTTTGGAAAGAATCTGAAGAGCTCCAATTGCCTAATGATCTCATGAACAGTTTGTCACACAGAATTATAGAGAAGAAATTTCATTACAATGTTGGAATGACTCTTTTCTTGCCCATGAGAGAGATTATGGAGATACCAGGATGATGAAAAGCAAAGGACAGAAATGAATGAACAGTTAATATATAAAAGCCTCATTGTTAACTCAAGTATTTGCACATGAAGTGAGTATAGAAAAGCTGGTATCAATTAGGTCATTGGTCTCTTAAGAAGTTTGAGAGCATTTCAAGGAACACTTAAGAGTACAATGATACTAATAACCTGCTTCTCATTGGGTAAACCACCAGCTCCAAGTCAAACCAAGTTGTTTTGTTTGCTCACATTTCCATATTCTTTTCATTTTTCTAACATAACAGAGAATGATGTGATGTCTGATTAACACATCTTAGTATTCTAATTTGCTCCCACATTTCCAATGCAGGGCTGAGCAGCACATAGGAAGATCAAAGCTCTTGGGTGCTGCAGTGATTCAGATGCTCAGAGGATGTTTGAAAAGCAAAATGTTATTGTAATGGTCAATAGTAAATTTTAAAAACTCTGGCATCTGAACTTTTTCAGAGTGTGCATAGAGTGGCATAAAACTGAAGTTTTATACCATTCTTTTTACTGCACTTCATAACAAAGGATTATGTGCCCACCTGCACTACAACTTCAAGGCACTGCACATTGGCAGATAAAAGTTTTGAAGCATGAATTTATGAAATGAATAGCAAGAAAGGGATTCTACAGGTACCTGGGAAGAGTTGGCATTAGCAGCCCGAAATGCAAGAACTCTCTCCTCCCTTCGCAGGACTTCTTCACCAATATCATGCATCTTGGCTTCCTGTCTAAGATCCCGATGGGATACAGGTCGGTGCACTTCCCCTGATTGGTACTGTGGATGTGGTGACATGAGTGCTGACTGTGGACGAGAATCTCCATCCCTGTGGGAGCGGTTCAGGACTCCCTCTGATCCACGGAAACTCCGCTGCTGACTCGATGCCCTGTTGAAGAAGGAACCAATACAGAATGCTAGTCCCACACTGTTTCTCATCCACCAACTGTGATTCATAGCTTGACATTCTCAAAACTCATTTGAAGAATGATAAATACAGGGTGATTAAATAAGTTTCAATCTATTTTTATGTAGTGTTATATATAAAAATAGATCAAGACTTTGTAATCACCCTGTATATATCATTTGCAAATGCTAATTTCCACTGTATCCATTATTTCCTGAATAAAAGCTTTTTGTTCCAATGTCCAACCTTTTCATATAAAAAAATTCCAAATTTTTTTCCTAGTCTGAAACATTTGAATGCTGATAAAATTTAGAAAATGTCAGTCATATTAATTGCAAATACTTTCAATCTAATTAACTTTCAACTTTCCCCTTAAACTTTCTTGTTTAAAAAGGGTAACTTCATTTCCATTAACATTTCTATTTAGCTACAACCCACTGTAAATTTGCTGTGGTCATTTGTGGAAATATAAAACTGCTGACAAATGCTGGAAAATGATAAGATACCGTTGATCAGGGAAGTTCTGAGCAGGGGAATAGCCATTCATGTGAGGGGGATGGTGAGGATAGGAAGAGGGCATTGGCCCTGATCCATACTGTTGATTTGGTGGGAGATTGGGATTAGAGGTTCCTCGTATTACTCCTCCATTTGCCACCCCTGCTACACTGGCCAGATTCTGCGTTGATCTGCATCAAAAAAGAACATTTCTGAGGGTGATTCAACTCAAATACCTTTATTGAAAAGCTTGAGTGCACCCTCATTTTCATTGAAATTCTTGCTTTAGCAGACCATTCTTTGAACTACGGGGTATGTATGCATGCACCCTTTCATTCCATTTTTGCTGAATCTGATGATGATGACAATACTAAATCAACTCTTGTGGCTGTTGAGTGGTTATGGCTACAAGATTGGCTCTATACCAAATGCTATGCCTATTAATGGAATTAGGCTGACCATATCAAAGGACACCATCCACTAGCTCTCATAAAATATGACTAGCTCTCAGGATGAGCTTAGATGCTGTATCAATATAAGTATATGCCTCGCTGGTCTTCATACCATCTTTGCAAGTGAGTATGCCTATGTTTGCTCATTTTATGATCGGAGAACCAGTAGGATACATGGATTTTAAGTTTAAGTACTTAAGTTCTTTCAATCAACAGATTGTGCCACATAAATGCATTATTCGACATAAGGACCACCAGGTGGTGACAATCATGCAACCAATGACAGTTTTCGTGCATGTGAAAACAGCAGTCAGGGGAATGAGCTGTCTTCTTTATATTGGATCTTTGATTCAAATGTCCTATTTAAAAAATACCTGTCCAGAGCAGTCACCAGCAAAAATTAAAGAAGTGTAATTATAGCAACACTATAAAATAGCACCTGAAAACTCCAAAGGAAAGCTCAAATTTCAAGGGACCTCCATGTTCCTGGCACCAGAGTAATTTTTTTTCAACCAAAACTGTTCACTTTCCATGAAAGGCAAATTTCCAAGCATCAAGAAATTAGCCTTCTTACAACCTTTTTTCACAGAACCTCAATTCTTTTTCTTTTCTTTCTAACTTGCATAGTAAGAACTAGCCTATACTGCTGCAGTATCAATGCATCAAACATTAAGAAGAGCCATATTGCCAAAAACCACCTCCAGTGGTGTCAGATGGGATGTTTTTGAACAGATTTCTGCAAATCCTATCCTTAGTCTACAGTAAAGCACTGAGGATGAAAAGGTCCTCTATCTTATTTACTCATCAATTAGAGCAGTTTCAGTTAATTCAACTAGAATAAGTTGGCAGTTTAACTGATTGTAAAGCAGGCACAACAACCACTTAAGACAGCGGTTCCCAGACTCCTTTGAGTCGTGACCCACTTGCTGACGTACAGAAAATTTTGTGATCCACCAGAAACCTGAACAAGGTATTTTCTAAGTAATCATGGCGTGAGGAAAACTGATAGACCTTTCATGTGGGGTATGTTCTATCCTGAACCAATGCAGCGGATGTTGCGATTACCTTCAATACGTAAGTACCAATATGCAATGCAAGTACCTTCAATAAGCAGAGCTCCAGAGAAACAGTATCTTATACTTCATTGTTTTTTTCCAATGACTCTTAATCACCCTAAAACTTGCACATTTCTATAATAATAAAAAGACAAAGAATACAGCCATGAAACAATAAAATAAAAGAGAACACTTACTCACTTTAATAAAAAAGAGGTGAAACCGATGTTTTGAGGCGTAAAGCCTCCTTCTTCAGGGAATAAAGGATCTTCAAAGATATATCAGCAATTATATTATAATAAACTTTTTAATCTGGATCATGCTTCATTCACTGCCAAGGGTTACAACTTGGATACATTTTTTCAGTCCTATATTATCATAATATGAAAAAAGGAACATATCAATTCTTCCCTTTTTGCTCCTACATCTTTCCTATCTGATAATGTTTTAGGCCCTGACAGCAGATGTTGTCAAGCAGCAAATCATTGCAGAATTCTTTTTCAAAGGAGGAGACAAGCAACACATCCTGTTAATTGCTTAGTGATTCTGCTCTAAGGATTGCCACTGTTTACATATGAGTGAGATGTTTCAGAAAGGAAGGCAAAATGAAATTTGAAGGTTCCAAAAAAAAATTGCCTACCAAATTCACAAACACTATCAGACACTCTTCCCAAAGGAAGGGAAACAATGAAATAGTCAATATATCAGACAATAAGGTGGATATGCAATATCAAAATTGTACAGTTGAGCAAGAATTAGAACATTTTTTTCAGCATGAAAATTGATGAATGTTCAACTTTGCACAAAACATCAGTCTCAGTTCTCTAGAAAAATGCAAAGATATCTTTTTTTCATTTTACATTAAAAGGAAAATGGAAAATTCTTGCCCTTGTTAAAATTACAAAATGCATATTTGCCCTTTTCTCAGATGGTCAATGATGTGTTCCATGTTCCATAAGATAATAGAGAGCTGAACAGTTGGAAAAGTTGAAACCCAGAGCAGTGAATCCAAAAAGATCTAGGCAGAAAAATCAATAACTCTTTGCCCTCCCCTTGAAGATTTGCTGGCATAGTTGTGAGATCCTAAACTTGGAATTAGCTTGCTCTGCCCTTGATTATGCATGCCAAATGCCAAATTGATCCCTGCATTCAGGAAGTGTCATGATAGTCAGCTGACCAAAACCATCTAGCATCCAACATGGTCATATGATGGTGGATGGCATCTGATGATCTTTGATGTACATTAGGGTAGTAGGTGCTACAGGATACACAAGAGACTTCAGATAATCCCTGCTGGTCGTTTAACCCCTTAACTGGGAACTTTTGAAGGCATATGTGCGGTGATTCCATTGAGAGATGGCAGGTGCCAGACCACACATATGCGGCGAGTCCATTTAAGGGGTTAATATACCATTCCATGCAAGTGATGAATGTAAATTTTGTGGGCCTCCTAAGCCATCCTTGTGGCTGTTTCTGATGATCGAACATTCTCTTCTCCATGGTCTCATTCATGTTCACACCAAATCTGACAGTTCCACAATGCTTAGTTATATGGTATGGCTGCCCGAACATCCCTAGATACCTTATACTAATGCTACAAATGAAATTCTGTTAGTAAGTTATTTTATAAAAGCTTGCAATAAGTACTACTATAGGTAAAATATGAACAGTTCTCATTGTGAAACTATCTGCTTGAAAATGGGAGAAATGTGGGAAGGGGACAAGGGCTATTTGCTTTGAATCATCCAAGCCACAGGTGAAAGATGCATGCATGTAGAGACTGGAACATTGACAAAAGGTGCCTGCTTTGAATATGGGCTCAAGCCTGTGCTTCTGTCCTTATCTGAACCTAACTGGTTAAATGGTTCGTTTACTTCACTTTGAACCTTGAGGTACTTTTCATCAAGATCTTCAATGATTAAGTTTTACTAATCACAATAGTATTTAGCTTGATAAATATAATAGAAAGCAGACCTGGATCGGAAGTGAGAAGGGGGATTCTGGGGCTTGGTATAGTTGGCATGGGGATTATAGGCCTCATGGACCTTTGATGGAGATCCTGGTTCTCCCGCTACACAAAGAACATCAGCCATCATTCCAACACTGAGCTCCAGAGCATGAGAAAATGAATGGCCCCCTAAAGAACACTTCCAACCAGTCATTCAACATCTTCTAGACCACAATATCTGCTTTGTTTTTTTTATTTTTAAAAAACCAGACCAGAGAGGTGACATTATAAGCCAGCCATGTCAGTTTCATTTGAAACTACATTTTTAGATGTTATTTGGGCCTTAAATATATTAGGCATTGACATATAAGTGGTTGGATTTTTATCACTATCTGGTGATATTACTCTAAATGCTCTAATACCATTTTTTGCTTCTGAAGTTTCTTCTCTGTTGCAAGAAATTGAAATTACATTTGTCCATAGCAAAAACATTATTTGAGAAAAAAGGCCCAAGTTCACAGTGGTTTCAGAGAGAAGTCAGATGGGAATAGAGATTAGGCATATGTATTGCCAAAAGCACATTTTTGAGGGAAAAGAGCATGTATATATTGACACTGAGAAAATTTTTTTTTCACCTGTTGAACTTGCCACAAGATTTCATATTGAAGAATTTCCATGAATTTTATTGCTTAACTGTAATTGTGATTAAGTTACTATTGGCATTAGTATGAATTAATTTAATTTAATTGAGGGTGCCAAAGTGGACCAGTACTGTTTATAAGAATTTACCCTCTTCCTCAGTTCAGTACAAAGTTCAAAATGGCTGGAATAAGTTATAACATTAGCAGGCAGGCAAATAATTTGATAGTGATTTGATCTCAAGGTTTTTGGCACATCCATCCCAACTGCAACTTTCACTGACTAACTGAAGATTCAGGGCAGTAATATTGGGTAGAATTGTCAAACTTATTACTAAAAACTAGATGAATACCAAATGATGAATGCAACAACTGACTTTGAAGTTAAAAAAAAAGGTCTTTCAATGCTTAAATTCTTTTCTATAATTGCTGATGGTATTGCTTCAGCTCAACAAATTCAGATGAGATTTTGAGAATAAGCTTGAAACATACTCATGTATGCATAGGGAAAGTATTGCAAAACTAGCTCCTTTGTGAGTGGAAAGAGAATTACATGCATAGGACTTCTTTTTTTTTTACCATTTGGCAAATGAAATTCCTAGATATAACCAGAATCATATGTTGCACATCAATAACTAAATAACACGTTCAGGTGAATAAAATGAAAAAAATCGTTTAACCCTATTCCCATCTGTGAAACCATTGTGGGGTGCCAAATGCAATCAGTGGGGATAGTAAATAGTATCAGGGGAACCACTCAGAGCTGAGCAGAGAACAAGATTTATTAACAGGCAGAGATATCTCAATTTTAATCCAAGCCTTCAATAGCAACTCCCAAACAACAAAAGAGAACATAACTTTCTGTAAAAATGCTTTTTTCTTCACTACACAGGATAATTTTTAAAAACTCAATATGTTCTCAAATTGGGTCAGTGTTTACAAGTGACAATTTGACATGCAAACAGGAAAAAATGTTTGCAATTTTGGCAACAAAACCATTAACTGCTATAAATGGAAGATGCAACTCCAGACCTTATGTTTATCCATGTCATTAAAAAAATTTTTTTCCTCATTCCACAAGGAAAAGCCATCAATTGGTGCCATCTGATTTTATTTTCTGGGTATGGGGGGGGGAATCAATTTGCAGCATAACAATTTCAACTCTTAAAGAAGGAAAAACTTGATCATATAAAAAAGTGGTAAATTGTGGCATTGAACTTATGAAATGGCAATAACAAATATGACACTGATGTTGCTGCTTTGAAAAAAAAGGTGGGGAAAAAGGCATCTGGAAGCACTGACTTCGATTAGTATCAACTGTTAATCTTTCATTACTTCCTTATTGGAAACCCTTTCAACAAATGACACCCCATCCTACAAATGACTTGTAAGTGAAACAGAGGCATAAGCCACAAGAACGTAGAAGCAGCACAAAATAAGACCATTGAGACTTACTGTTTAGAGAGGGGACAGACTTGGAGGAGGATATGCGGGGAGGCATGAGACCTGGGACTCGACTTGGTAAGTCCCGCTCACTCTGGTATCGCCCATTGTATGCTGCTGCACCCACACAACCACACAGACAACCACATATATACATTCACATTCACAAACAACCACAACCTGCTATCACTATAAGCCTACTCAACACCAGACAACATCTTTCAGATAGATGCATACAAGCATATATGAGTCTATCCAATCTCAACAAAAAAGAAAGTATTTGAAAATTTTATTGGCCTTGTTAGGATCCAAATTCATTAAACACAAAAAAACTTAATCACTGAAAATATTAACAATATTGCTTAATCTTTTGCCTTTAAATATGATCATGGCATTGCATACAAGTTCATTGCTAATATATGCTGGTAATAAGACCTTATGTTAAAGAAATAAAAAGGTTCAAAATTGAATGGAATGTGGGTTAACTGAATATAATACCAATGAAAAGGACAGAAAAATCAAGCTATAGAGAAACAATGAGGCATTAAAAAAAATTGGTGTAAAATGAAAATTCTAAACTCTGATTACTCTCTCAGAATGAGTTGAAATGGACTGAATTTTTAAATAAATCATCTAAAATTTGAGCTGCAACTAAATCAAATCAACCAACCAATATCTGGCAATTCTATATCCTGCAGATGGGTAGCTTTGATAACCAATGCCTTACATCTGACATAGCTAAGTCCTAATTACTTAATTTTGTTTATCACAGGTAATCCATATTACCCTGGCTTTCAAGGCATCTTGAAACAATTCTAGGTCTGTTCTACAAGACATCACTGGATCTCCTCCTCCTACTATTCTTACCAGCTTCCCTTCTTGTATTAAAAAATAAAAGAATGACTGCAAAATATCATACCAATAAATGCAAACTCTCAATGTTAACCAGTATCACTCAATCATGCTATACCTAACACCACCCAATTAATACAGTTTTGGCCTTAAATTCAATTGATCTCCAAAGACCAATGTCTCACTGAATATTAAAAAATGGAGGAAACTGAAGTTTAAAATGTATCTGCTTGCTTAAGCTATTCTGATGTTGAGGAGAGAATTTTAGATTCCTGAATTCTCATCTTATAGGGAGGGAGCTATGGCTGACTCCATCTGCATTGCAATGACCATGTAAGGCTGACTTCTGCAAAAAAGAAAGAGTACAACAAAAAGTTCATGCAGGAGAGGCAAAAGCTGAGGAAAGATGCATGTCATGTAAGTGAAGCCAACAAAAGGGAAGAGAAGTGAAGGGAGACAGGCCCACACAAAGCTTGAAGAAAGAGAGTGCCTACCCTTGCCTTGTGACTGGGAGAGGCTACTCGTGAAGGACGGAGAACTATAAGGGCTGGGAGAGGGGGAATGGGTAAGGAGAGTTAAACCTGCATCACAAGGACGTGACAATTCTCTCCGGGTACCAAACTTCTCCAACAAGGACCCAAGGTCTTCAGCCTTACAGTTGAGACCTTCAGGTGGGGTTGGGAGGTCAATGAGGTAAGTGACCTTAGGTGGGGCAGCCCGGGTCAACCGGCGGGACCTTGCTCGAATACTTGATAAGAAAGATGGGGGCAGGAAAAATTTGAGGAATGGCTTTGGTCTAGGTTTTGGTCTTTTCTTCACATGATCTTCAATGCATTCCTGTCTCTGTAGCTGTGGCTTCTCAGGTTTACCAGAGATTATGGGAGGGGGAGAGTGGTTAATGGAAGCACCATCACCAGCCGTGCGAATTGAGGCAGAGGCATGCTGGTTAATGGATGAGGGAAGAGAATGCGAGCGCTGCGGATTCCCTCTACCTCCAGTCCCACTGCTGGAAAGGTCCTCTGACAGGGGACGTTGTTGCTGTTGCTGTTGCTGTTGTTGTTGCTGACGGCGACGCAACGATCCTTCATGCCCCACACAGACACAAGGCACAAGGAAATGAAAACAGAGCCCGAACAAGTCATGTTAAAATGATGGAGACACACACAGTCACAGCAACTGATCAGGAAGGGAGACTAGTTTCCATGGAAATCCTCAAAATGAAAAAAAAAACTCCAGATTTTGGAAATTGAGTCATTTTTGTATCACTAATAATTTAAAGCAAAAGATCTTGAAATGCTTGATGTAACTATGGTTTCTTTTCTCGTTAAATCAAGCATAACTTAATATCAACTTTACATCTCTTACTCCTAGAGCATGCTCTGTATGAAACTTCATTGTAATAAGGTATATTTCTGCTATGTTACAATTCAAAATCATTACTATGAGCCTTTCTCCTAAGGCCAATCCTGGTTGTCACTTGGCTATTACTTTAGAGTAAGAGTCCAATTCAGGTCAAAAAGTGGAACATGGGAATGACAACCAAAACTGCTCATTTCTGACAGAGTTTAGTCTCAGAGACAGACCTGTCTTAAGATAATAGCCAGCCAAGACACATCAATTTAAAAAAAAAAAAACAGGAAAACACAGGCCCATATCAATAACAAATTTCCTTGGCAGATTCAAGCCTAGAAAGAGCAAGGAACCAATTAGTTTCCCACAGGCAGCTGGATCTTTCTAGCTGTCATCAGCACACAGTAAGTTTTCAAGCAGTTGGGCCATAATGTCCTCATCCTGATAAGCTGCAGAGAAGGAATGAGTCTGACACCACATATGAAAGAGGACCTTAATTGGTCAGTTCAGATTGATGGTTAGGGACAATGGACTGTAAGCTAAAGATGGAGCCCAGACAAATTACCTCAATGAAAGAGGAAACAGACCTCGGGTGATGGTTGGTGAAGGCTGAGAGAGTAAGGTGGCTAGGCCATGGAAGATGGCACCCTGCTTGGCCACCTCTAGGGTCACCACCTGACCTGTCTTCATCATTATCTCTGCCGCTCTGCAATAACATTCATTTTCCCCACTATCATATAAGAGACTGATTCAGGTCTAACAATAAGGTATTTTACAGATATTTGGGATTTTGTGGGGAAAAAAAACCATCATAAATCCTATTCTCATCTGGGAGACTACAAAAAAGTTCTACAAACTACTTTCATTACAGTAAAATACTAGGTGATTTAACATTCCTCATCTACAATTTTTGCTTATACTCATATGCACAGGGTGTCCATAAATCACTTTTGCAGTTCAGATCACAGTGGGATGCACATGAAGCAATGGAAGACTGGGAATTAGTCTGTGTGACCAATGCACTTGGCTGCCTGAAGGTCATGGTAATGGGCTCCTGTTAAAGCAAGAGAATGGTATCCTTATGGTGCTATCCCTTCAAGGATGTTACTGCACCAAACTAAGACCTTAGTGCTGCAGTGTGGCTATTGCAAGAAGGCATGCAGGTGGTACCTACCCAAGGGCAAAGTTGTACCACCATGAAGCATCTCCAACCTGCTAATTGTACACATGGTGCAACCTGCAAGGGAGCTGCGCAACATGTGTCATATTGTTCTCCATACAGTTATCTGTCAAAACCCAGTATGCTGCAATACTTCACCAATACTTAATGGGACTGTGCAGTGAGACTTCCTTCTATGTGTTAAACACATGGGCAACAACCCCCACTGGTAGTGATGGGTGACCACTCCTTCTTACATTGGCTACACTACCAGTTTTCAGGAATTTCCTAGTGAAGTTCATTCAAGACTACCGCAATTGAGTATAGCCTCACATTAATGTTGATGCAATCTTAGTGAAGTCTCATTGTTCCTCTCATTCTCATAATACAGACCATGAGCTCAAATCACTGTCCTGGTGTCCTAATGATGCTATCTCATGCAAATACAACACTGAAACTGAAAATGGTGTGTTTCATTTCATCTGTGAAGGCACATAATGCAAAAGTGACACCATCACAGCATCTGCCATTTTTACATCTGCAGTCAGATTGTTCCAATACCCAATTTTCCCTGTCTTACATCACTCTTTATGCACTCCACAGCTGCCTGAACAGCAAAGGTGACTTTTGGAATACCACACCATATACTTATCATCAAAAAATGCTAATACATAAAAGGCAAAATGAGTTGGGTTATCGAATTTCAAGGATGACGTAAGAAAAACTTGCCAGGCAGTCAAACACAAGAGGAAAGGGATCCACACAAGTCATTTGATTTTTTGCTGGTGCATGTTTACTTTGCACCATTGTCCATTGCTCAGCTGTAACACTGAGGCATATTCACCACCTCCATCAGTTTGATCGGGGCAAGCATATTATACGGAGGGTATACATGATATTGACTCACGAGTGTCGGCCTAATGGTAGTAGTGGTAATGCTAGCAATTTAGCCAGCGTTTCCCTGTTCTGTTCATTCTGCAGCCTTGAAATTATAACAATGCATTTTTCATGCATAACTACGAGTTCTTTTTGCCAAACTTCCTAGTGCAATGCAAATTTTTGGCAACCAAAATTCAATTATTTATTCCGAAGTCACTTTTTAAGATATTTCAAGTCTGAAAAAATGCAGTTTTAGCTGAGTCTTTCTTCTTTCCATTACATGTGACTTGCAACAAAAAAAAACCAGAAAACACACCTAAAATGCGCGTTGAAAGGTGTGCCCTTTTTGGCCCACCCTGTAAACATAAAACGGAGGGGGAGAGGGGGAGAGAGGGAGAGGGGGAGAGAGGGAGACTAGTTTCCATGGAAATCCTCAAAATGAAAAAAAAAACTCCAGATTTTGGAAATTGAGTCATTTTTGTATCACTAATAATTTAAAGCAAAAGATCTTGAAATGCTTGATGTAAGAGAGGGGGAGAGAGGGAGAGGGGGAGGGAGGGAGGAGGGGGAGGGAGGGAGGAGGGGGAGGGAGGGAGGAGGGGGAGGGAGAGAGGTAGAGAGGGAGGAAGGGGGGGGGGGAGAGAGAGAGAGAGCAGACCTTTCCTGGGTGATGCCTTGAAGGCTGGCGCCGTCGACTTTGAGAAGTTGATCGCCAGCCTGGAGACGACCATCCTGATCTGCTGCTCCACCTCCAACCACCGACTTGATGTAGATCCCAAGCCGGTCCTGCCCCACGCCCTGCGCAATGTACCGAACACATTCAATAGTCAATGCAGTGGAATCGGCCGGGGGTGGAGGGGACCCGTCCCATTTGTAGTAAGAACATCATTGCATACGTGACAAATTTTTCAAATTCGGTGGAACCAGAGGGGAACATAATAATATTGGAAGTGAAGGGAAGTCAACCTTCGGACCTACCGACCAGAATCAGTGAAGAGGCACTCTACGCTCTGTCAATCGGTTTCAATGTCTTAAACTCTTTTTTTTTCTTTTAACCTTTAGCAAAGTCTCCTTTTATGCCTTCAGATCTTGCAGCTCTGGGTAACGATAACGGATTCAGAGCCTGCTCCCTACCAAATTGAATCTAGCGTTACATGACATTTATGTTCATAGGACCGGAGCGTCAGGGTGAACTTCTAGTTAATGCATGTCTTAGAGACCACTGGCCAGTGGTATCCGTTAATGACTTCCTTCGTTCCCCACTCGATAGTACCCACAACCGCAACGCATTCCATGTTTTCTTTTTTTTTTTTCCATCCAGCACATCGTCGTGTCATAACGGGTATCTGCGTGATGCAGTCGCAGTGTCACTGGCCTCGCCTCGGCGATCGTTTCCCATGGCTGCCCCTAAGACTCGTGAAAGAAGGAAATGAAGTTGAAGGTCCAGACCAAGCCAAGAAAGACCGACTAAGATTGAGATTCCATTTCACGCTCGGGTTGCCCGACAACAAAAGCTCTCAAATGAAATTCCATCCGTTCCAAAAAATAAAGCGTTTGTTCCGGTCGTACATGCCGCTAGACATAACACACTGTTGTGGTGGGGGGACGCGAGGTAAAGAAAAAAAAAAGGGGGGGGGGGGAAGGAAAAACAAAACCCAGTCACCGTGGTAGTCATACTTTTCTCTTGGGCAACGACAAACAAAAGCCTCATTCGTCGTTGACATGGACGCCAACATACATCCGTTAGAGGAAGAGCCATAATTTCAACATATCCTGGTCTAGTTTCCAGCTTACGAGCAATAGGGACGTTTTTCTTTACAAACAAACCGTGGAGCGGAGCTGGAGGCATTTCCAAGTGGGACAGCAGCAAGTTCACCCGATGTAAAAGAAACAGTTGGAAAGGCAGGAAAATTCATGATGACCATCATCTCGAACGGATTTAGCAAACCTCGTGTCTTATCGGCGCCTCCGTTGTACATTTGGCCCTTATTGAAATGATCCATTGGATTCCTGTCTGAACCGATGACCAGAAAGGAGGGAGATTCATTGTGGTAAGTTTTCCAACTCATTGCAACGGGTAGATTATAAATATCCAAGCTACCACACCTGAAACCACTCGCTTTCAATGCTCAGAGCTCTCATGATGACTGAGATAGGATCAGGCTCTCTCACACCACAAGCCGAGGGACGCAAAACGGTAGTAACCTAAAAGGGGGAATTGAAAAACGTCGGACCAGTTTTACTCATCCGTCAGGTTTTACAAAGGAATCTGTTTTTGACACCATATCATCGAAATTCAGGTTCTCTAATATCCTAGAACTTCCGATTGGTGAGCAGGGTTCCTAACCTGGGTTAACCCGAGCAGGAATTCGAATCGAAGAGATGGGAGCATGCTTTCAAAGAATTTCACACGAACTGCTTTCAACAAGTCGTTATGTAATTGAAGATCAGTCCCCAAGCTGTTTCAAAAGTTTACAAACCCGAGTCGACCCAGGCTGCGTGAAAATACCATTGACATCTCCCCTCGGACACTCAGTTTTCGGTAGCCTCAAGTATGTAAAAACTTAAAACTCCGACAGATGGGTCAGGTCCAGTCTTCAATGCCTTCCCTGAGGGTTTCTACTACTAACATCACTCTCAGCCAAAGACCTCGTGCATCAATTTGGAGATATCTGGTAGGAAGGGCTAGAACTGACAGTCAAAGTAGAGCGTGCTATTTATTGCATTAGCTCCCATGGGATATCGCACTGGTTCTCTTCGTATTTCTTAGGATATCATACTCTTTCTTGCATCTTGGATGATCCTAGAATAATCGTGAATTTGTCCTAAGTCGTACAGCAACGCTTGAGAGACTTCCTCGGCCGGGGAATGGACTGAATCCTGGATTTACTGTTATGTACGTAGATTAGGTTAGGCCAGGCATGGCCGCGACGCAGCTGACAGAACCACTGAGCCACACCCGAAAATATTTTCTCATCTGAAGCACTGATATGCTATTTATACAGGGTGAGTCAAAAGTCTGGACACATAGGGCTAATGTGTGTTTTTTTTTTTAGCTTGTGAGTCAATCCAGGCCCAATCCTGGAATCAGTCCACAGCGAATTTGAAAAAGAATCCAGAAATGTCTAGAGAACGATGGACAACATATAGAACAGATATTGTAACATTTCGTGCAATAAACACATATTGAGCTCAGTTCCCTATGTGTCCAGACTTTTGACTCATAAGTTTGCTTCAAGTCAAATATTTCTCCAGACGTGTTAAGTCAGTGGACATTCACGACCACGTAGGGTTAACTTAAACTTAAAGAGCTACTTCCGTTCTGCTCATCCGCCAGCCCGTCAGCTAAGATAGTCCAGATAGCATCAAGTTCCATCCTTTCGCCCCGGCTCTTCCGTCAGCAGCCTCCGGAAACCACACCTCGGCCAGGGAAGTAGTAATCTACAGACAGCTTCAATAGTAAACTCAGCACCTGACGTCTCAGATCCCTCTGTACGGCAAGCAACTCGTACAGTTACAGCTTTCATCTAGATAGATGTATTGATATATACTAGGGCTGGCAATCGATTAAAAAATGTGATCGATTAATCGTGAACCATTTAATCGATTAATCGAATTTTAATCCATCCCTTAGTTCCTCCTTGAATCATGTCCTAATGATTCTGCTTGTGCGATGCCCAACACCAAGGCGAGCCTCAGGAAGTGACTCAAGGCGATTCAGTCGCTAACATAGCAGTTACCAACCATACATATACTAGTTCATTCTACAAGTGACACATTCCAGTCGGAAAGAAAATAGTTACAACTTAGCCAGATAAATAATGAGGCGTAAGTTAAGAAGCGCACTGAGGCACTTCGCCATTTAGTCAACCAATAACGGAAGGATGCAAAAATGGGCAATAATATAGGACGTGTCCACTTAAGAATTCTTGTCAACTTTGGCATGACCATCTCTCAGGGGTAAATGCAGGAATATAGGAAGGGAAAGCAGGGAAAATCTTTTTCCTGAAAGGAAAAATATTGATGCTTTTGAATTGTGGTGCGGGAGAAGATTGCTGAACATACCATGGACTGCAAGGAGAACAAAGAAATCAATATTGGACGAGGTGAAGCCGAACTGCTCTCTGGAGGCATCAATAACAAAATCGAGGCTGAAATATTTTGGTCATATAATGAGAAGACAAGACAAATTAGAAAATACATTGATGCTTGGTAAAACGGAAGGGAAAAGGAGAGGACGACAAAGAACACGATGGATGGACACTTTCATGGAAGACACACAACTGGGGATGCAAGAACTAAAGTAGAAAATGGATAGAAAGTGCTGGCGAGACCTTGTCCATCGGGTCACCGAGAGTCGAACACGACTAAATGGATAAAAGACACACACACAAGAAGGGAAAGCACAATATTAAGGGTGACATGCACCAGATCCGTTTAAGCTAAACTAATTTTACACTACACGGTGAACTACACGGTAAAATTATAAAAGGAAAAAGAGGCATTCAGGGGAGATTCGGGGAACGATTAAAATTCGATTAATTTCGAAGTTTTTCTACATCGCGATTAATACTTTAATCGATTAATCTAATCGAATTGACGGCTCTAGTATATGCATATAAATATTTTCCTGGCCGACAGCTGCGACAGCATATAAGGCCAGAGCAACACCTAGTTTAAACCCTCCGCTGAAGGCTGCAACTGGGTTTTGCATTGAATTGCGCATACTCTGTCTCCTATGTGCACATTAGTACGACTTTGATGTGATCTTGCCCGGTCTAAGAAACTGCTCCTGTGATTCCCCTATACCTTGGCTTTCGATTATATTCCAGTCTGGGACCTGAGCAAGTTCCCACCCACTGCGGCACAATCAACCAACACGGTAATCGCGAGAGCTGCGAAGAGGCCAGACTCACGGGTTTGGGAGGGACCTGGGGTCCAGCTTGAGGCCGGGGGTTCCTCACCTCCCTGTATCCAGCATTTCCCTCCAAGAGTGGGTGAAACACCCCCACCCTCTCTGTCAACATTACCCCCTGTCCTCTCGACACAATCCTCCAAATAGTCTCGCACGTTGCACAGTATGCACGAAAAATCCCATATATTATAATCACGGGTAAGAAAGAACCTGTGAGGGACAGAAAAACGTAGTTCTTTTCTACTTGAAATCGCGAACGCTACACAGAAGATGCTTTGTGGAAACACGAGGCCCGACTGGTTCTTTTCCCCCCAATGGGAGGATTCACGGCTTGAGAATTGAAAGAGGCGGATCGTTCCCTTCACACGGGGGGAGAGAGGAAGAAAAAAAAGTTTTGTCTCAAGGACTTTCCTTCTTTCTTTGTTGGAAACCCCAGATGAACTTCCGCAGTGAGTGAACAACATCTCCAAATGAGCATGTCCGCGTCATTCAGGCTTTGATCACCCATCACTAACACCTGCGGATATGAGGAGCCTGCCTCTCACCCATCATGAAGTACTGCGACGAATGAAAGAAACGTGAGGGTAGCGCACAGGACTCCCCTCCCCTACGTCCGCTTCTTCTCACTCACTTCCCCAACAGAGGACGTCCTCCGTTGAGAATAGTCATTGGGGTGAAAGCGTACGCCATTCTCTTCCCTCCGTTGCCTATATCTTCTCCAAGGAGGTCAAAGATGACCAGTGCAGAGGAGCCTAAGCCCGATTTCAGAAGTCTGATCAGCGAAGGATGATGCAAATCAAGGCGCAGAAACTTCACCCTAATTTACTGCAACTTCACCCTAATTTACTTTTCCAAACAACATGGGAAACGTGACGACGATGAAGAAACTGAGATGATGGGAATTGAAGGTGGAAATGGAATGGGAAGGCAGGTAGATGAACCCGGTCATTACGAACCGGGCCCTTGCAACACGGGGATGAGCGGGAAAAGAGATAGGTGTCCAAAGATTCACCGGTCATTAATTGCTTTCCCCTAATGACCCCAAGGGCAATTATTGAAAGGGCACAATCCCAGCACATTGAGCACTTCCGCTCTTTCTTTGCAGGCCTATCTTTCTTAGTTCATAAGGGTGCTCTGTTCGGAACCTCTCTTATGAATTAGGCACTAACACCGAAGGGGATTCCATGTGGTGATAGAAGTGGAGTCTATGTAATGACTTTCTTCCTCGATTCCAGGGGAAAACAAGGAAAGAGGAGAATAGACAGGCAGGTGCAAAGAACAGGAGGGAGAAACCCCCTTGAAAATGCATGACAAAAAAAAAGAGAGAAAAAAAAATTCCCACGCTCCCTCTCGTAATGGTCGACTGACATTACCAGACTGGGGAGGGTGGGAAACAAAAATTCTTTAATTTCCCACTGGATCATGCTACCAGTCATGATTCATTGGGAAATTACTCTGGCGATCTTGTTATTCTTGTTTGCAGACAGGCTATCACTGTAGATATAGGAAGGTTCTGCTAAAGAAAAATTAATGCACTGAGAAAGCACGTTATCTTCCTCACGGGTATCTCCAGCAAGAACCAACCTGAGGCTGAGAAAAGTCACGTTTCAATAGGTCAAGGAGCCACGAGAGGCCTTTAGCCAGCACAGATTCTGAATATACTGTACAGTAGCGGTAAGCCTCGGGCAACGGCCAAATGACAAGCATCGCAGGCTTTAAACAATACACTTGTGGCAGTCTTCTTTCCCGTCTTCTTCTCGGAGCAATGCGGGTAATGGAGTCGGGAATTGGGTGCGCAGGTTCAACTTACGCCAATCTTGTATTTTCAGGCATATATGCCGCGGTTTAGATCCAATTGAGTTCGAAATCCAAGTTCCATCTCGTCAGCCCACTCGCATACGACTTGTTTTTGAATTTTTTAAAACTTGGAATACGAGACATGAACAAAAGCTCACTATAAGCAGGACAGGCCCTCCAAGAATGCTGATGTACTGCCAGGGCCGGCCTTAGGCATGTGCCCCCGCACAGGGCACAAATTCACCAAGGGCGCCAAAATGTGACTGAACGTATGAATCAATAATGGATGCCACCCTCAGTTTTACTTCAGAAAATGGAAATGCCTTCCGTTTCAGTGTCATTTTGGACGCTAGGAATTGACCTTTCTCCCTTCTGGAAGGTAGGGAGGGGGGATGTAGTCTCTTGCCTAGGGCGTCGAAATAGGTCCAACATAGCATTAAAAAAAAAACCGCGAGTGCCCGCGGCTAGGCAAGGAAAGCATGCTTGCTGCACACGTCCCAAGCTCCAACTCTGTCTTGCCCTTCCGTAGCTCCTATCTCGTTCCCTTCCTCATCCCTCTTGCTTGAGAAGGAACTAAGGGGCTTTCGCCTTGAAAACGGAGCTCGGGGATTCTGGGTAGTTTTCCATTTCTCAGGTATGGGTACCCAAAAGTTGCTGTTTCTTAAAAAATTTGGATACTAGAGTAATTTGCCTAAGTTCGAGATAGCACATATTCGATCCCCGTCACTCGATGCTATGTCAAAATATTGTCAGCACATCCTATCGCATCATCTGCTGATGGATGTCCCCTTCATTTACTTGGCTGAGGTCTTGGAGCCCGGATGACTGGGTTCTTGGTGCCATTCTCCGAACTTCAGCAGATCATGTTCCAAGATTTTTCCCAGCTTCCTCTGTGACTTTTTCGTCTTTGTATGCTATACAAGTGTTTATTCTAGAGCAGTGTAACAATAAGACTAGGTTACTATCTTCTTCTGTCACATAGATCATGAAAAATAAGACACTCTCGAACTTAGAAACACACCCCCCTCATGTTCCTAATTTCGATATAGTGTAGAAAAGGAATGTGCTTAAGTTCGAGGCCATATCGAAATTAGGAACGTACTGGGAAAAAATTGAGAAAATTCAACAAATACCATGGGAAACTAAACTTCAAAGAACAAGTAAACAATCTATTTTCATGAAAGAAGATGCAGTCCTTGTCTGCTTTGCTTAGATAGATTCATTCACAAGACAACATAGAAAACCTTGCATAATCTTACTCTTTAGTGAGATCTAAATTCTTTTATTAAATTATTTTATTTGCATTCCCTTAAAAAAAAAAGTTCATGAGGTAGCCATACATATGCATAAAAATATTGAAATGCCCCCACCCAACCTCAAACACAAACTCCCAGAATGCCACCTGCCAAATTTAAATATATTCTCAATATCATTTCTAGAACTACATGTGTAGCAAATTTCATCTTTCTATCATATGAAGAACTTTATACATAGCATGAGACATTCGCTTTGGTCTGCATAAGAAAACTACAATCTATCCAAATCTTTTTCAGGTGTGGGGCAGAGGTAGTGAGGAGGGTGTTAGATTACCTAGAAATTTTTCCCTGTAAGTATAACTTCAACCAATACCTTTGGTATTGAGCCTTTTCCAAGTGTTGGACACGATATCCAGGGTAATATGTTCAATATACAATGTGTTTACCAATGTTATAAACATTGGCAGAGACTGAAATTTCCACTAGCCAATGTTCTGCATACTCTCCTTTGCTAGAAGTTCTCAGAGTGCTAAGAAAAGTGTCAGAGGTGACATTTCATGACACTTCAGGTCAAAGTCACTTGCTCTAATGGTCACATTTCCGTAATATAAAGGAATCTATCAATTTAGTGTCAAGTTCATTCTATAAATTGAATGAAAGTCTGAAATTAGTGGGTCATTCAATGATTACAGAATTCTGAAAAGAAAGCAAGGCTATTTTGCAACTGTCAGATGAGACATGTTCTGAAAGTTCATTTGAAAATGAGAAGTCTGCTCTTATCTCAAATAATAATTTTCTTTTTGAAATATCATTCAAATGTAAAAATGGAAAGTCTAGAGCCAGACAGTCATCTGACATACATCCATAGTATATTCTCACATCAGGAGAACGTACGTCAAATGTCTGAGGCTGTCTGGGGATCATGAGAATGCTTCTTTCAATTAGGAGCATCCCTTTCAGAAGATGCAGGCCCTTGTTGGCTGTCCACAGACATTCCTAACCCTGTAGGTTATAAAATCGAAGGGATTGCTTTTATTTTGATACAGAGACGAGCTTTCAACTGTAGGATCAATGGATATGAGAAAAGAGCACAAATTTTCAAAACTGCATGTTAATTTTTGAAAGTTTTTCTTTCGCAATATGAAAAATGGATTTAGTTCTTTGGAAAAACTGCAAAATGCCACCTTTGAAATAGTATGAGAGAATGAAACTTTAATCGTGGATGGATGTGAATGCTCTATTCAAATGCAAAATCTTCTTTGCACAATTTAATTGCAGAACTTAAGCAATATTGACACTCAGGAGGCATGGTGTGTTCTACATAGCAAATTCTTCATCAAATGCTCCTTACTGGGTTTGAATGCACATTATGTGCTTCAAATGACACTACAAGTCCCCTCAGGGGTGTAATTCAGTGGTGAACTAATAATGAGGAGGTATTTGAAGCCATCCAGAATGAGTGCAATTGAGCATAGTACCCGCTTCATGTAGAATTATTTACTAAGAAAAAATATTCAGTAACTTTGCAAGAGTTGAGCACATCAAGACATGCCTAAAACTTTTTTAGGATGCATTTACAATGTGTCCTAAATAGTACTTGCACTTGAATGGAGTTTTTGTGCACCTCCATCCAAGAAACAACATTAATTTTCTCTTTCCAACACAGGCATGCAATAAGTGCATTCCTTAGTGTGCTCAATTATCATTCATTCACTACATAAGGGAGAGTGCAATCAGTGAGATTCATGTAAGAAACTAGACCAAAATCAGCAAACATAGAAAAAAACTTACCCAAAAAGCACATTAGCTTTGCTGAAAATGAACAAGTCTCTAAAAAAAATTATTTAAATTCTCCCATATTATCCTGCAATATTTCAAATTGATAGCTTCTACAATTTGTAATTAAGCCGAGAAATGTTCTTTCTTTTGCAAAACAAGATGTGTGTTCACCATGAAACAATTTGAATACATTCAGTATATTATTCTGTTCACCATACAGACATTACAAACTTAGGAACACCCCTCTTGAAATTAGGTGCACTACACCTCATTGACAAAATCTTGTCTATAAGACTCCAAAGGTGTGATTACCATAATTCTGTACCCTGTTCATCTCTCAAGAACCCAAGAAGTCGATGTTGAACCAAAAATCAGCATGGCATCACTAATGAGTGCCTGCGATGGATATTCCCATACCCAGTAAAAAAAATGCCTCAAACTTGGACACGTTACACTATAACGTACCTCTACAGTAAAATGTAAGGTATTTCTTAAATCCAGTCATTTGCTATGGGATCAGACAACTAGCTTTCCTCCTTTCTTGCTCTTTTCATGCAATTGAGAAAACAGTATTACATGCATTTTTGATAAATGGCTATTCCAAGCATTTGGCCAAAGATGGCAAGGTTATCATTAGAAGTTACAAATCTCCCTTTTAATGGTGATTTTATATTAACACCTCAGTACCTTATGCACCACTGCTGCAGACAAGAAAAGAGTATTTCAATATTTTGCTATTTTTGAATAATTCCTAGGCGATTATCAGGTGCCAAAGCACTTGATAGTCACCAAGGAATTCAGAACACATTCTCAGCTACTTGATGGGATGAAGATGGAGGGATAGAGACATAGCATCATGACCATTTATATTTATAAAAATGAATAGCCTCAATGTAGGACCATTAACCATAGCTATGATGAAGAAATGGAGACAAACCTTGGCAGCAACAATGCTGAGCCCCATGCCACTGTTGGACTTGCAGAGCTGAATGGTGACAACCTGGGGTCCACTGGGAGAAACCTGGTCTCCAGCGGATGACATCCTCACACTCATTGCACTTGGACTTCTTGCCTATTACAGGATTGTCCAGTCTTTAAATGTCAACACCAGCTTTATGTCACTTTCCATAAGCAGTCCTCCAAGCTAATGTAATATAGTCCTCTTCTACCAAAGACCATCCTGATCTTATCTACAAGAAGAGCCAGTGATTGCTAATGAGGCCATAATGGAGGAGGGACTGGAATCTTTTCATAGAACCTTTGGCCCATAACACACTAGCCTCAACAATCAGGCAACTGAAAATATGCAAAGGAAACAAGATGACCTATACCTATGCTCACATTGGCACTCTCTTACCATGGTATTAGAAGCTTCAATCAAAGCAACCAGATGGCTTAGTGAGAACAAGTTTTGTCAGAGTATGGAAAAAATACTGTTTTTTTTTTTTTTAAGTCTGCATGTTTCAAGAGAATGGCCTATTATTTATTGGGTACAAGTTGCTGTGAAGTGAGAGTTTTGGGCTATATTTGGTGCCCTGCATGTCCAATGCCAACATTGTCCCTATTGACAATGAAAAAAAGCAACTTAAAATAATTTTGGAGGGCTGATAGCTTGAAATCCCTGTCTCTTACATTTTTCAGTGACTGGAACCATCTTTGTCTGAGGCAATCAGCAATGCGATTATGAAGAGTGTAGTCTGATAGATGAGTACCATCAAGACAAAGCAGTAGAGCCTGTGCATTTTCAAGTTGGCATGTCAGGGTTCACTTCTCCAACTCATAAAAGGCATTTCTTTGTTTTCTCAATGGATTTGAATTTGTCAACAGCCTCCATAGCAATATTGAGATTCTTGGACTATGTGTCCATTATCTTCAAGATGTCACATTCTACATGAAAGTGCTTTGTCACTCTAGTATAACACTCACTACAGTACTCATTCAACTGCATTTACCTTCTTTGTGCTATAGCATTCCCCAATGATTACATGGATTACTATTATGGGGCTAACCTACCAGGGCAAAGTTGGACTTGTTTTACTTGTATCTGATTGCATCTGCATCATCAGAGTGTTAGGTTATAGGAGGGTACAGGAGCAACTGAGTAAGTATTGGAGTAGTATAGTATAAAATGATACTTAGGCTAAATTTTGATGGGAGAGGATTGGCAAGAGATGGTCATAGTTCTCTCGACTCCTCTGCCTGTAGTATTGGCCACTATGTCAAGTGTGAACCATGTGGTGGTCATCTGATAGCAATGAATAAATGAATAAGGAATATGGATTAATGAGCAAAAATTATAGGAAAAAACAGCAGGAAATAAAGAGCTTGATATACAACAGTTACTTTCATAGGTTCCTGGCATAGTGTGTCACCATAATCATAAAGAGCAATAAAATACTATAGAATGGTATGTTTGCAAAATTTTGATTAAATGTTTTTTGCTTTGAAAAATTAGCATTAAAAAAATTGCACAAACTTCTGTGACACCCTGTAGAAAGAAAAGATCTGCAAAACAACATTCCCAATTAGTAGAGAGTGTTCCTTGTGGCTCTATTGTGTTAGAAAATAGTAAAATTTCCTTTCTCCTCTCATTTTCATACTGTTTGAACTAGTTACCTACCACTAAAATCAGGAATATAGTTTACCTAATAGTGAAATTTTTGGAACTGCTATTGCTAACAAGAAAAAGAGTGTGATGGGAACCTAATAAACCCTTGCTCCAAAATAATGTATCCCAATTTCAACATTTAACAGACTCTTGCCTCAAAAAGGCTGGCTTTTGAGGCTTTACCAAAAATTGTATCTTGGTCATCAGCCAGCATAGAATGAAGCAAAAAATCAAGATGATGTGCCTAAACCAAATGTGAATGATTCTACAATCATTTAAATGCGTTCATAAATCCTAGTTTCCAATATCTGCTAGGCTTTGTAGTGTTCTTCACTTATGAAGCCTGCAGGATCACAATTCTAATAAAAAAGGACTTTAAAAGGAAGGAAGGAAGGAGGGAATGCTCACATGAACTGGTTCACCAGAACCCATATAGATGGTCCAAAAGCCAGAGGAATTGGGCTGTGGTGTGAAGCGACAAAGGCCTGCATGCTGAAGTGGGGCAAGGAATTCTGTCAATCCTGATGGAATTCCTCTCACAATGTCACATGAATACCCATCCTCTGGTAGCATAAAAGGTAGAAAAAGATTCTCATCCTCCTCCAATTTGATTGGTCGACCATCTGATCGTAGAATTTCATCTGCTGTACTCTCAGCCACCTGAGTAGATTGAGTCAGATGCAATATAGCCTCAAATAAAGGGGAATGAAGGCAAAAGATTTTAAGATTTAAAAAATATATATTTGATTGAAATTATATGAACTTTTTCATCATTGGTTTTGTTTTCATTCTGATATGGAAAATCATACCCTGACAACATTGTTGATGAGGTCCTGTGGGATCTTGGGCTCATCTCCAGCTGGCTGATAGCGTTCAAGAAGGCTACAGAGCTGGAGGGAGTTGAGCTTGAAGCAGGCAGCACTAATACCTGCTATGTCCTCTGGTGTCCATTTTGGAGCCTGAGCAAGGAAAACAAGAGTAGTTTCATCATATTTATTGAGCTACAATCAGGGATCTACAGAACACTCAATGTGTAACCTAAGTCCATAATTAAAAGGGGATCTTTACACAGATTTATGGATAGTATATTTACAAAAATTGTGCAATTATTCAATAATAAAATTTAATCATAATACATATGTACTTATACAGGGTGAGGCACTTAAAAGTAGCCTGTACCCATGCGGTCAGTTATTAAGTCATAGTGTTCATACTGTGAGCGTATTTTTAAAGCTGGCGCATGCACATCCCATTGTCATAACCACCTGATCCACTCCTGCTAAGTCCTTTAGTTCAGGAGAAGGAACTTAAGTCCATGGCAATGAACTACCTGAAACATGCTCAGCGATGTCTGGATGTGGGGGGAGAGCACTTCCAGCATCTCCTATAAATGAGTGATACAGGCTACTTTTAAGTGTGCCACCCTTTATTAGACAATTCAACAACCAAGGTTAACAAGAAATATATACAATCCTGTATTTAAGATAAATGAAAAAATATAGATAAGAGAATAAGTCTGCCACATTGTGATCCAGTGGTAATTATTCAGTGACAGCAAGGAACCATTGATTACCAAACTACACAGCATGATGAAAGTGAATATGAAAGGAAGGGGGTAAATGTGACCTGAAGGAGATGAGCAGCTTGGGTGATGCGAGCAAGGTGACAGTCAGCAGCCAATTCTAGGCCCTGCTTCTCAGCCCATGCCTCAAGGTGACTCAGTCGCTGCTGCAGCCGCTCACCCCAGAACCTTGAGCAGAGCTGAAGAGGGCCCTCAATCACCAGCTGCAAAAGAACAGTATAGGTGATGTTCACTGACTGAAAGCAAGAAAGGCAGGCGTGAAAGTACTTTCTTTAAATAGAAAAAATAAGATTTTGATTTTAAAACTTATTTTATTTACAATACTTATCTTCTTTCAGTTTTCTTCATGGGTTCTTTCCATCATTATTCATACAGTTAACTCTTGCTTATCTGAAGATTAGCAATCTGGAGCTCATATTAATTTAGCCATGAGAAATGGTTCCAGCAGAAATTCTCTCAGTAATCCAAATGCTGTTATTACAGAGCTCCCATATACACAAACAAGTTGCCAGATCCTTAGGTCCATTCCCCTCATTAATCCAGACTTGGAGGCAGAGGAGATGATATAATAAAACAGTAAAAAAGTTTTACAAGGTCCCTTTACTGTGTCTCTACTCCCCCTTACCCTGGAATAAAAGCAAGAAAGAGATGAAACTCTTCTCTAGTCTGATTTCCCCCCTTTCCTCAAATTGGGATTGCTCTCTTCAGTGAGAGTTCCTCTGTTTGCAGTAACTTCTCTCATCTCCAGTCAGTCTCATACATCCTTGTCATTAAAGCCACAAGAAGTAAGAACTTTTTAAATTCTTAGACATGGGTGAGAAGCAAGTTGAGGTAGGCCTAGTACAGTTAGAATATTTCACCATCAAGAGTCTCATACATGAAGTGTCATAATAAACGTGAACATGATGCTGTCTGGCCTGGTGTCCCTCTTTGGCAGAAACAAATATTAAGTATTTGTTTTGCATTAGTTTCTGCAGAGGGACACATCCTTCACAGAAGAATGCATTCATTGTTGTGAGCACAGAGGAGCTGCTATACAGTGGTGTTGACAGACAGGCTACAGAGGAGGCCAGCCTTCCCTACCTCCACCTACAAACTCCTATGGCTGCATATCACCAGTTTGCAGTCCACTCAAGTTATTTGTGTGTGAAAAAAAGCAAAAATGTAGATTTCTTGAGAGTTTATTGGTTGAAATAATTAAGCAAGTGATTCCCATTCCCATAGAAAAAATGAAATGGAGTAAATGACAATAACAATGTACACTAGGAGTGCATTTTCCTTCTGGAAATGCAAAGAAAAATGAATGGTAACTCAGACAGGTTTTCAATAATCTGGGGAAGCTGTTAACCCTTTCCCTGGCTTCAGCATAGTTTTACATCAACATCCTCAAAGTGTTTGGATATCCCAACCAGGGAAAGGGTTAATCTGAATAAAATTGCTGGTGCTCTGAAACATGGATTAATGAGAGTTGACATTAGTTGCTAATGACAGGTATGAAGAATAAGATCAATAAGACAGAAAGAACAGACCCAAAAATAAACAAAAAGTAAAAACACCACTTCTAGTCATCCAATTACAACAAATATCTCTACATTATCTTATTCTTCATTCACACCAACAGAAGATTTAGCTTGTCACCCTATGAGACCTATAATTAGAATCCTGTTTGGCATGGAAGGATTCAAGATCCATATGATGATCCAGTTTCTTGTGACATTGATAAAATGATGCAAACAACTTTGAACATAAAACCACAGAAACTAAAAACATTGACACTGAAGCATTTCCAGGGAGCCAATTTTTTTCATCCACAAGGCTTTATTATCTAAAGTCATAGTTTGTAGTGTACAGAAAACTTAGAATTGTCATTATACATTCCTGACCCTGGCATTTTAGGTCTTGATCATAACTTGGGTTTCAGCATGCAGACATTTTTCCATCATGACATTTCCCTCTCAGTCGACATTCATTCCAACTGCCCTGCTCACAGAGGACACCCCAGTCTCAAAAGATTTGGCTATGGAAGGGTTATTTACACTTTAAACTTCTCAAATTCAGCTACTCTTTAATTACGAAGCATAAATCCAGACTTTGAAGTTCCAATACATATTTCATGTTAACAGGCTATCCATGACTGATTTGACTTAAATAAAATATTTCAAAAACTACCTCATTTAAATCAAGCCTGGCTTGCAACAAGCCTTTGTGAATTAAATCAGTTGACGGCACACAGCAAAGTGAAAGTGATTTGAAACAGATTCATTCCTAAGGTCAAGATGAAGGAAAAAAATATATTTCAAAGGTTAAAAATTAGATTTTTGAGGGACTTGGAAATGTTCTTTGATAATTAGGTATACCTTGTTGAAGAGCCACATGTTGACAAAATGGAAGAGATGGGAGAAGAGCTGAATGGTGAGGGCAGCATTAACACGGCAAGTGCGGAGGAGGGCCATGGTATGGCTTAGTGTCCCCAGAATCCCCTCCATGCACAGGGTTGAGTCCTCTGTGTGGGCATCCAGGACCTGTGGCATGCATCGCTCCACATCTCCTTGAAGCAGTGTCACCAACCCTCGAAAGCCATACTTTAGAAAATGGAAGACAAACCATCATAAGGACAGAAATTAGACATCCAAGAGTGCTCTTCTATTATTCTACCAGCCATGACCAACACAGTGAACATGGACTAGGTGTCCCACTGCTTGCATCTGATAGCTCTGGAAACACTTGTCCTGGTTGTACCTGTATGTCTACTCACCAACAAATCTGATGAGTGTCATTCAAGAACATAGGTGTTATTATTAGACAAAACCATCAAAATCCTATGCATTTACTTGCATGCAAAAGAAATTTACTTTGGCTGAGATCATTCTCAGAGGCCTTGTCAGTTTGCTCAAATGCATAACTTGGTAGCATAAGAAGACACAATCACAAATGAATTAAAAATTTAAAATTTAACCAACAAACTAAGTTGCCCCCCTATACATGGCTCTGATTTAACTGACATTAATATACTTATAACATTTATGCTCTTTCTGACCTGTACACATTCTGCAAGGATGTCCTGGGCATCAAGAGAGTATGCAGAGATATGTCGATCTGTCTTGAGGAAGTGAAGCAGTTCAGATGAGTTGGCCATCCAAAATGACAAGGCTGGAGGGTTAGATCCAGCAGCCTGGATTGCTCCTTCCACCATTCTACCTGCCTTGCTCAGAACCTGGGTCAGCTTGATTGCTCGCTCTGGTGGAGTCAAGTCAGGCCGAAAGTGTACAGATGCTCGATATCTATGTATGAAATGAATATATACATACATGAGAAAACCTGACTCCAAGTGATGAAATATAAGCATCAGGCATGCAAACCAAGTTTTAAGGAGAAAAAAGGGTAGCCAACAGCCAAGTTCACATCCATGAATTATTTCTGAATATCATTACAGAATTGGACTCCATGATGATGGGAACAAAATGAATAGGTATGCTACACCACAAGTAAGAGATGAAACTATATTGTAATTTGCTGGCACCTGTACCCAGTTTTTCAATCATCTCACAAGAAAATATTGGTTTTTAGTTATTGTATCCAGTATCTTTATACGTTTTATCTTTGTACCTTTGGAAAAAGCTATGTAGAACAGGTCAAAAAGCATTAGAACAATAAAGTTTTTCTACCTGAAAATAGAAAATAAAATTATTCACACCCATGAAAGATTTAAAATTTAATCTCATTTTTACATAAAGGTAAAACTGCTAATAGCCAGTAATTGGTAATGGGGGTTTCAATCAGACCAGTACTGTGTGCTGTGGTGGTTCATCTCACCTTTCAGAACTTGGCCTTGTCAAAGAAGGCTATGTACAATAAGAAAGCCAGCTCAGCTATTAAGCAGGTGTGCATTTTACAGATATGATGATCTAAGTCGTCATTGTACTGTTACTAAACACATTAGACCTTGTAAGGATGGAACTTTTGTGTGGAGGATCTTCCATATGGACTCAATGGATAGGTCAGTTGTAATGGCTTCTTTCTGGATGGAGGTGTGACAGTCTTCCTGCATGCAGCACAGTACAGGATGTTTGGAAAGTCACTCCTTATTTTTAAATTGTAATAACTTTTGTAATTTCTGGACTAGAACTATCGGTTTTGTGTCAAGGGAAACAGAATTGATAAAGGTTTTATGATTCTATTGATTTGTTTGTTCATAGTAAACCTTCATGGTGTCAAAATGAATCTCTGGCACTGTGTGCAAATAGCTGCAGGGTATGAGATGTAGAGGTCCCCCCCTGTCATGGTCCAGAGGTGGTGGCAAAAGGAAAATGGCTTATATACAACTTTGGACATTGGACCTCCACACCTCATACTTTGCAGCTATGGTGTCAAAGATTCAATTTAGCACCATGGAGGCTTACAATAAACAAACAAATCGATAAAATCCTGAAACTGCATCAAATTCTGCTTCTTTTGGCATGAAAACCATTGCTCTATTCCAAAAATTACAGAAGTTATTACAATTTAAAAAGAGGGAGTGACTTTCCAAACACCCCATACATCCAATAGGCTGTTCAGTTGGGTCACCAACACACTGTACATTTTGTGTACCTGTCAGCAACTGATTCAGTCACTTTGAACTTTGCCACCAAGCATGCAACAGCATTAGATGCTGGCATGGATATGCTAGGAAACATGGCTCCAAATGATCTTCCTCCTTCCCTTTTACTATGTCTGACATTGAACCACTTTATCAATTGCATGAGCTGCTGTATTATGTATTGCACCATAGTGGACCTGACTCTCAAGTACAAAGAAGTGGACTACATCTTGAGATAACTTGTCCAAGGTTATTCTATTGCTATGGGATGACTAATGAGAGGACACAGGAGTCTTTTTTTAATTTATGGTATGTGGTGATTTTTGGTTTCCTAACCAATATGCAACCTGGTGAGCCTTGTGGCCATAACCAAACCTGACTAACAGGCAGCAAAATATTCCCAATGTTACATTTAAATATGAACACCATGTATATGGGGGATATTTATATATTATAGCAACAATGATAAGGAAACATAGAAAAAGGTACAGATGGGATACCTGGCAGCCAGATACAAGGTGTAAGTGGGTGCAAGCTTGAAGTGCACATTATGGACATCCAAGTCAGTGGTAAGGGAGGCAAGGAATGCATCCTCATTAGCTTCAGGGAACTCCAGTGTTGCTGGAAGAATTGCCTCATGACCTCGTACACCTCCACTCCTTCCTTCCCATGCCCTGTAACATTTAATCCTTGTGATGGGCCATACCAATTAATATTATATTTTATGGTTAGTTTTGTTTCCTTTGTTCAGTTTTAAGTTGAGGCACTTGAATTTAGCATTAAATACTTAATTTTACAAGTAGCACTTCCAAAACTTGAATTTATGCCAATAAAAAATAACTCAACATTGGTAACATGATTATCTCTGCTTGAAATAGGGACAGCCTAAAACCAAGTAGACTGCAATAAAAATTTTCCAACAAGCAGTTCCAAGTCAGAGTTCCAACCTGCTGCTACGCCTTGAGTCATCTCGGAAGCTTGCAGTTGACACAGTCTCAATGTTCCCATCAACATCAAATGTGGTCTCAAAATTTCTAGACATGGACCCTCGAGCAGAACCTTCATGGCTGGACATGCTGTTCAAGCCAAAGCATAAAACAAAAATAAAAAGATAAAATACTGCAAATATAACCAGCAAATATTAAACCTAATACACTGACTGGCTTAAAATGCATGCAACTAGCTCCAACATGATGGAACATCTTAACCTCTCAAGTGACCAGGAGGCATGTCTATAGCCACACCTTCAAGGGGGTGCATCTATAGACTGGAGGGTTAACACAGAATCTAGAGACATGACAAGCTCTGATATCAATATTTCATGCATTCTTACTCACCGTTCCGTATAGGAGCTACGGAGGTGGTGCAGTGGAGGCTGTCGAGTACGTTCTTCCACTGTAGGATCAAGGAAACGGAAGGTGTGATGTCGACCAAACCGTACCACTGCTCCATGCTAAATGAGCAAAACATTAGAAAAGGTTACCCTATACAAATATTCCTTCACAATAAAATGGTTCCAAAACTGACAGTAAATATATTGTAGCACGTCCTTCTTTATCATAATATTTCATACAGGTATCTACTTAATCTATCTGGTCAAGTGAAAAAAATATAAAGACATATAAGTCTAAGAAACATTTAATAATATTGACACTCTGTAGGTAGGAAATGGACAATGAGTGGAGAGGCAGGCAAACCTGGAGTAGTGTAGTCTCATAGATACGTTGTCCATTGACATAAGTCTCAGCCTCCCGACTGCAAGGTGTGACGGTAACAATTCCTTCCATGTGAGCAATGACACAGTGACGTGACTGGACATTAGGCCCAAACAGTTGTAGACTCTGGCCACCTGTTTGGGAGGAGCGCTCACTCCCAACCTCAGTTACATTCAACTGCAACCTATATCTCTGTGGGATCCCTTGTCTGATCTCGCTTCCATCTAGATTGGTAAGAAGGAACAAGCTGTTTATATGAAACCTTAACATGCTGCAAAAAGAATTTCTCTGGGCAACCTCCTTAAACTCCTACTTTTGTTCAATCCAAAACAACCTAATTCACTGCAACTGTTCACAGTTCCAGAGGCTTTGAAAATATGGTATTTGGTCACTTCACCTGGATGAAGTTCAAGGAAATATGGTAGGAATTCCTCATCACTACGATAGACTCCATCCTCATATCCAGGCTTGGTCTTTTTCTTCCGCCGCCGTGGTTGATAATCTGCTGGTCGTCTCTTAACATGGAATGTCACTGACCCTGTCCAAGACATAGAGACCAGTTAATCAAATGCTTCATGAAATAAATTGTTTCCATGGGAGATTTTAAAATCAACTTTACACAAAGTCCCTGTTATCTCAATGTTGAACTACCACTGGTAGTTGCCATAAAGATGACTCAAGTGGAATGAGTGTTTTTGACCTAAACATGCCATGTCTGCAACACTTGCAGTTTAACTTGGCAACTTTCACAACCACTCAAAAAGATTGCTTCTTGCAATACAGTTATCCAATTGAAGTTAGCCAATTCTGCAATAAATTTCATAAATCTAATTTCAACTTCTGTCATTTTCTGTAACTGCAGGGGCACATGAGATGGCTGCGAAGTCAAAGATCACTATGTTCATGGTGTTAATACTCTAGCAAGCAGCACTATGTACAAATCATGTTGCTAATTATATTTCCTATGTTACAATGGTAGATATCCTGTTACTTTTTGACTTACCCTTGTGCAGAGAGACATATATTCTTGCATCAGTCTCAAGTGGCAAGTGCACTTTTTCCATAGAGATCCTTGATTACAGTCAAACTCAGAGCTTAGAGGTTCAGAGCATCATGTGTAGAGTAGGAGTGTAGTTTTAACCCTCATCCGGGCAAGCTTTTTTACAACCTATTCCGGGCAAGGTGAGTCTGTCAGACTCATGTACTAGGGTGTCTCAAAAGTTCTTGTGCATATATGTACGTTTTATTTGATGACATGTTTCGGAATGGAATTTAATTTAGTTGTATATGTGTTTGGTCCTATCTTGAAGCGCGTGTCAAGGCGCGGATTAATATCTTAAGTTGTTGTACATTTCGTCTCATTTAGGATAATTGTAGCATCCAGAATGGCTGAAGAGAAACTTGAGATGGGTCACAGTCATCGAAAATGATGGGCTTTATTTCGCAGAGTAACTATGTTTTGTTGCTGTTTTATATGTCATCAAATGAAATGTTCATCTATGCACAAGAACTTTTGAGACACCCTAGTAAAATAAGGCCGTTTGCTGCGGTTACGGTATGTATTCTTATAAATAACAGTACTGTAACTAAAATAATACAGACAATATATTCGATGGTCCTGATAGTTTAAAAAAATAATGACAGTAATAGACCGAAATATGTCATAGTGAGTCCAGCGGACTCACCTTGCCCGGATTAGGGTTAAGAGAGTGGAAAATTTTTCAGCATATAACCCAACTCCCAACCCAAAGAATCCAATGAGAAAGAATCACAAGAAACAAAGCAACAAACAACAGCTAAAATAGGCATTGTTGTTTGTACAGCTCGAAATTGGTTGAGTAGTCCTAGGAAGGTCATGATAGGAATTCACAGATCAAATGAGTCATAGCACAGGCTGATTACTTTGTTGATTTGACATATTTCCAGGCATGGTGGGGATGATGTATTCAGTGGTGAGTAAACTCTCAAGATGTGCTTGCTGATTAATTCCCCTTTAACCCATTGACGCCGGGAACTGTAATATTACGTTTTTAAACCCATAGTGTTCTGGAGTCGCTGGGCGTGAATGTGTTAAATGCATTTACTTAAACCCCAGCTCTTCTTCAGGTAAACTCCCACAGAAATGTGGAGCATGTGGCTTAACCCTTTCAGACCTGAATTAAGGCCAGCATCAGAATAATATCCTTTTTTGCATTTTTTTAGCTTTTTTGTTGTAATTGAAATTTTCATGTTTTATATGTAGTTTTCATATTTTGTATAAATTTACAGTTCCATTCAGTTCCCTGGGTTCTTCAGGAAAATAATTGAAATCATCAGCTCTTTGGCACAGAACTTCTGATACATCCTTGATGGCTCTACAGAAACTACAGGCTATCTTTTGTAGAAACAGTCATCCTTGTCTCACCAACAGCCAGCCTCACAGAATAAATCTCCTGTTGTATAATATTGCAGAGCAATGAGGACTTGAAGGCTTACAGAAAGAGATCGCTTTCTACAAGTGGGTCTTCGTAGCTCATCCAGTAATTGGATGCAATGAAAGAAGAAATCACAATGACAAGGTCTATGAAATCAACGCTATTATCTCTTTATTAGAGGTCCTGACATATAATAATAATCGGTTAAAATTTTCGCTATTAGGAGGCAAAAAGCCGTTCTAGTTACGCTAATAAATTCCTATTAGGTAGATATTATACAGTTAGGCCCTATTAGGCTTTCTAGTTACGACCCCCAGGACAATATTATTACTATTCTATGGCTAGCAGAGTTTTCCTTTCCCAGAAAAATCTTTGAACAGGGATAATTTTTTTAGCAATGAGATTACACTGAAAGTCATCATCAGGTAATAGATACAAAGATTATAAAAAGCCAGACCTCGTTCACTTTGATGAGTCATGAGAATGGCAAGTGGACACTCATCTTCATCAAGGATGTACTCCTTGGTCCCACCAGCACGTCCACTTGGGTCTGATGGGTCTGTCACAATCTGTACAAATTTCCAACAATCTTATCATCCCACCCTACTGAATGATGACAACACATGCAGAATGTCAATGACCTTAAAGGAAACCAAGAAAAGACTTCCAAGAAAAAATTAACCACTTGACCTCTCTGATCTGGAATAGTATCTGTGCTTTTCCCTTGATGACTTGCTTGTCAAAACATGCAATGATGGCAAAATGTATGCACTTAGGAAGATAGACAAAGACAGCCCTCTAATGATAAGCAAGTTGCCACAATCACAGCCAGGGAAAAATGATCTTGTCAAAAGAAAGGATATAAGCTTACCATTCAAAATAAAAATGAATTTTTAATGAAAATACTATAATTGGAGCAGATTCATGTAATGAGCCATGCCATTGAGTCTTGATCATAAGATTTGGGATGAAGCTATTCTGCAACTATTGACACAATCTGGAAAACTCTTCATTACATGTCTGGAGATAACATGAATGGATAAGAAAAATTATGAATAAATAATCTAATGCAACACAAGATATCTAATATGCCTCTTGTAAAGCCTTATTTTTCTTGCAACATAAGCAAATTCTCTCCCTTTCACCTCCTCCTTGATATAATCATGGTATTTTTTATGTCACAACATAATGTAATGTTAACAGTCTTACTTGAACAAGACAGTAGTTGGCAGGATCCTCCTTATCCAGGCTGTACTTGTCAAGCATCTCCCTGACAACATATGCAGCTGTGTCCCTCACAGAGAGGAGGAGAGTCTTATATGGAACATCTTGACACAGTGCATCCCCATAGATCTTCAAGGTGCCACCTGTATCTGGCCCCCCATCCCGGCTCCGGAACTGCTGCAATTTCTTTTCCAACTTCTGTTGCCGTCGCCGCCGCATTACTGCCTCTGGGTTGCTGATAGAGCGTGTGAATGATGTCTCAGGAAGTTCTGCCATAGAAAATGGAACATAACCAAAACTGAAAACTTCCTTTCAAGCAGCGGCAAGAAAAGATGATAAAAGATGCTGTTAGTCAAGACTTTAAACCAGGGGTGTCAAACTCGATTAGACTGGGAGCCAGATGGAAGCCTTCAGGGTTGATTAGGGGTCACAACAAAAATGTAATACCTTATCTTTAATGCAAGCAGGCTGAAGTTTGTAGTTCATTTCCATATGCAACTGTCGAAGAGGAGTTAGCAGGCCAGACAAAATGGACTGACAGGCCGAATCTGGCCCGCGGGCTGCCAGTTTGACACCCCTGCTTTAAACTATGCAATACATTTGTGTTGATTTGAGGCCTTTCCCCCACTAAAAACATAAAAGCCATACTTGATGTGATTGTCCATTAGGCAGACTATTCATCCAAGCAGACATAACATCTGATTATGTTGCAAGAAGATATTCACTCCACAATCATGATTACTTTTGCTCTGCATATAAAATACAGGGTGCGTAAGAAGTTCTGTTACAAACGTTTCTTTGCCAAAAACAACCAAAGCAACAAGAACGACAACTTCAAGTGAAAATTTATTTAGTACAAAGTGTCAGTCAATGTTAGGAACCATAGCTACTCGAAATTTCTGCCACGTTTGGAAATGCAAGCCTTCAATCGAGGGCGGAAAGCGCGTACTGCAGCACGCAGCTGATGCTGTGGAATATTCTTCCATTCTCGGACCAAAGACTTCTTAAGGGCTTCGATATTGCGGTGGGCACTAGCCCCAACTCTTGTCTCCAAAATGGACCAAATAGAAAAATCCAGAGGGTTCAGGTCAGGGGAGCTGGGAGGCCATTGGTCCTTCGTAATGAAGTCCGAAATTTCATGATGAAGCCATGCTTGGGAAATGTTGGAAGTGTGTGCTGGC